CCCCCCCCCCCCCTCGGCTACGGGCATGCTGATACGGAAACATTAGCTCTAAAACTACTCTAATACAGAGGTTCGGCTTCTTCTCGTTTCTTTATGATGATTGTTAAGAAAGATAATAGCCCTCCTAAACTGCTCCAAGGTCAGTCCCGATGACGTTTTCTTCGTGACCACCGCAGGCAAGACGAGTATTCTGAGTGATCTCTCGGCACACGTCCGACCAGTTTTTGGGGGATTGCCGAATGCCGACACAATCAACCTCATTAAAAATGGCGGCTGTGCCAAAACACCGACGAGTAGTCTCGTCTAAATCAGCTTAACCTTGTCCCCAAAATGTGACAATTGTGACTTGATCTTTGTGTATACTTGGAGGAAAAGTCTCACACAGACACCAGAGCGACAATGAAACGACGCTTTCAGTACCTTTCCACCAGGTTAGTGCCTTATTATAAGGGTTTCAATTGGGGAGGGGGGTGGTAAGGTCTTGTAGGTCGACTGGGCGGCGATAACAGGGAAACTAAACACACAAAGTTAGTTTACAGACAGTAAAATGTGGTCACGAAGTTTGAGAGGTTAAATATATCTTTGAAAATCGTGTTTACATGTTGTGTGAGTTTTTGAGTATATTATAAGTTCCCAAATGCTAGCTTATCACACGTGATATCTTGCTTGGCAACATTTTGTAACTCTTTGTAACTTCCTCATGTATTAAACACTAGAGTACAGTCACTTAGCTTTGAATTGTAACAGCGTTAAAATCAGTAATTAAAAAAATTCTCTCGGCCTCAAAATTCATTTTTGTCAGCCTCCTCATGTGTTTTTGCTGTGTTCAACTCTTCAAATTTTCGCCCGTCATTTGACGACTCATTTTAACGATCCAGTCGCCTGGGGGTGCGATATGATCGGCACTAAAAAGACCTTGATATTTCCATTTAAATAGGCCATGTTGATTTGATTATTGAGAACACCGAAACTAGCATATTCTTAGTGGAAAATGATCTAATTTAGGGGAAAAGTGGCCACAATACAACACATATAATTATCCAAATCCTTCTTCTGCTTGGAGATTTTTCTGTCCCACTTTAACACAAAGTTCAATCCGTGCATAGTTTCATCAGGTTGGTAAGTCACTCAGTAAAGAGACTCTTTTTACATAACCAAGTCTTTTATTCAGCCGACGTTTCGGTGACCGTCTGTCACCTTCCTCAGGGCAATTCTGACTGGTTCACATTGCACTGCAGCACAGGTGTCGCTGCTATAGATCTGCATTTCCTGACGTACATACCTACACATATGCTTTTGTTTCATAACTATATCCAACTCCTGTACATTTGGGACCGCATTGTAGATACAGTTCCCTGTAATCACGCATGTGTGTAGATATGTAAATATTGTACGTTTGGGAATGCATCTAACAGCGACACATGTGCTGCAGTGTGAACCAGTCAGAATTGCCCTGAGGAACACTAATAGTAGCCTCTACCAGGCTTGAGGAGGCGGCTGGAAAGAGTAGAAATCGGCCAAAATAGAGAGATAAGCATGCCAAGGGAGTTTGGCCGTTGAGAGAACATTTGTGGGGCGACGAACTCTCTCTATTTTGGCCGATTTCTACTCTTTCCAGCCGCCTCCTCAAGCCTGGTAGAGGCTACACTAATAGATCGACGGTCACCGAAACGTCGGCTGAATAAAACACTTGGTTGTGTAAAAAGAGTCTCTTTACTCACAAAGTGCAATGTTTTTAGGAGCAGACTGTTTGGATTTCGCAAGACCCCCTTCAACATTGTCCTGATCGTCTTACTCCCGTGTCTGTTAATACTTCCGTACGTGCTTCTACACGGAATTCGACTTGGAAGCGAAGAGGAGACGGTCATCACCAAAACCGACGGCACAGATTCGGAAGAAATTCTGCAAGATTTCGTAAACGGCAGCACGCATGACACAGACTCAACTGAAACAGACTCAGAAGAGACATTTTCAGAAGAAGAAGAAGAAGAAGATTCTGACTCGGACGAGTGGAGCTTCAACCCGCTGCCAGCCCTGAAGGCTCTGTGGAGTAAAACAGAGACTCCCCTACCAGATGTACCTGAGTTAGACACGGTAGAAGATCAGTCCAGTCAGCCCAGCACCAACCCCATAATACAAAGAATAGAGAAACACTGGAACGTAAAACTTTGCCAAGCCTTGCAGTAAGTTCAATCTATGATCTATGATATATACGTATCTTTCCATTTTCATACATCGTTATCATAACTGTTGAGCCCTGGTATATATTGTGGGTGGTAGGATGTGGTATAGCCTAACTGAACCTCGCTTTTCGCAAGATTTTCGCTCCCAGAATTTAGGGAGACCCCCCCCCCCCGAGCTTGGGTTTCACAGGCTAGATGTGGTATAGGGTCACCAGGAATGTGTACTGTGTAATCGAGGTATGAAACATAAACCATGACCATTGTGCAATGCCTACATGTAAGTGAATTACGCCATACGATCGAATGCGTAATAATCTATTCTATGATGTAATTCATTCGGGTATTTCCCCATGATCATACAATTCTGTTCCGATAAATTGAGGGATATCCGAAACAGTTCCAAAAAGTCTAAAATTTCCCATTTCGAAGGCTTTATATAAGCAATTGTGCTGTTTGCCTGATACTCGTTAAAAAAATCTTCTACCACCTTCAGGAATTTAAGTCGACGCTTCTACGACCCAAGACGACACGTCATCCACCTCAGAGAACTGTACAAGTTCCAGAGATACTGTAACTACTCCACCTTCACCTTAAAGACTTCCAAGACAAGACCCTGTGACGTCGTCAGCACTCCCATAAAACAGTACCGCACGTGCGCAGTGGTAGGAAACGGAGGCATCCTCCTAAGCAGCGGTTGCGGCGCCGAAATAGACGCGCACGATTTCGTCGTCCGTTCCAACCTCCCTCCCACGCTACCCTACCGGCGAGACGTCGGCATCAGGACCAACTTCACGGCGGTCAATTACGAGCGCCTCATCCAAGTCAGGGACCAGCTGAAGTCGACGAATCCGCGCGTTCTTGACGACGTGTTCACGCGGTTCCGGATCTCTCCTGGGATGGTGTTCGCGTACGGACTGAGTCTTAACGACGAGCGGAACCAGAGGAGAATGACGGGGACGGCGCGGACCGTCAGGGAGAGAGGCCTGCCGGTCACGTTCGCGTTCGCCCACCGATCGTACATGGACAGCAAAGGGTGGGTAGACTGGTGCAATTCACCAATTTCACACTTCCCATAATGCCTAGTAAAAGTCACGGATATGACGTAAGACCACCCCCTCCCCCTTCCTCGATGTAATATTTCCAACAAGTTCTATCGACAAACTGGTCAACTATTGTTTTGAATTATTTCTCTAGTATAAAGCGCATGCATTAAGTGCATTTTGTTGGAATTAGAGAAAATGAGGTACCTTCTATCGTTCTAATATACGTAATGCGACCGTGCGAGTAGGAGATAGAAGGTATTCTTCGATAGAAGGTAGAAAGATAGAAGGTACGTCATTTTCTCTAATTCCAACAAAAAAGCAGGAAGGATTTAGACTCCTGTCACCATATATGTGAATGTGTTTGAGTAAGAATTAACAGAGCAGACCATATGCGAAGGTAAACATTATGCATTTGCTTTGCAAATGTTACCTTTCTAGTTTAAAGTTAAAACTTTTGTTCCAACACAAAAAAATTCTCTCACCTAGAGCTTTCGACCAGTCACTCTGGTCTTCCTCAGTAGACTGACCCAGTGAAGATTGTTTTGTTACCTTTCTAGTGTTGTTCTATTGTTTGCCCTTTAGGATGTGGTATCTACTGTCTGGTAAGAAGAACCACCTCCCGTCCACGGGTCTGAACGTGATGGGGCTGGCCTCGTCCTTCTGTGACCGGATCTCGCTGTACGGGTACTTCCCCTTCGACTCGGACATACACGGCAAGAAGCTTCCCTACCACTACTACGACCAGAAGCTGGCAGAGGGCTCACACAACATGGCCAACGAGTTCATGATCTTCAGGACGCTGCACGATCTCGGGATCATCCGACACGTCATAGGTCCCTGCGAACAGACTTGATTATTGATCATTATTGTCTTCGTCAGAAAGACTATGAAATTGTCTCGCCGCATTGTGGGTGACTGCGGATTTATCGGAATAACTCTTGAAGGCATTGTTCGACGTCCATGATTTTTGGCAGGCAGATTACCGTTGTTGAGGCCAATGCTAAGTGCAAGTTTGGGCTTCGCGGGGGGTCCGTACGTCACTGCAGTGGACTTTTTTGTGTTTGTGGCTTGTGAGCAAAATAACTCGAGTATATTTAAACAGATGTTCATGATTTTTGGTAGGCAAGCTACCATTGTAGAGGCCAAGGTCAAGTTCGAAAACGGGCCTCGTGGGGGGTCCCTATGTTGCTGCAGTGGACCTTTTGTGTTAGATAGTTTGTCATATTAATTTTACTTAAGCTGAAAAATTGTGCAATTTTGTCTAACAGCACCAAATCTGGCACACATGTAGTTGAACATATACTACACAAATCTGGATATGGCTCAGGCATCTCAATTTCTGCCCAGAAGCGCCGTGACGTCATCTTAAATTTAGAACCCCCAAAATAGGCGAAGCGTTCTAGTGCTCTGATTATGGGGGAGGGGCAAAAAATTAAACATCAATATTTCTCCCTGAAAATTTGTATGCCTCCATAACCTACTACGTACAAGGTACACAAATCTGTTAAGTTTGTTTGTGTATAGTATATCGTATATGTTCAACTACATGTGTGCCAAAGTTGGTTCTTTTAGACAAAAGTGCACAATTCGGCTACTTTTGCCAGCTATGCCGCTGGACTATTAGTTGTGTAGGAAATTGGCAACTTTATATATTGAGTACAATGGGTACTCCTTCTAGTGAATTAATGAGATAGAGGGTCGCTATCCCATTAGTTCACAAGAATAAGAAGTGCTGGGATCTGTTGTACGTAGTGAAATAATGTGATACGTTTATGACAGCTGTTATCACGTACGACTTAAAGTAGTTATCACGGTTTTCGACTGAAATCCTTTTTTTTTAATGAACAAAAGCTGAAGCTCTGTAAACTAGCGCCTTGGAGCTTCCATCCTACAATTTAGACAGTCATACACTGTTGTATGCTAAATAAAGACTGTCTCTAAATTTTACTATGTATAGTGTGATATTATAACCCGTGCATTGTCGAAATATCACTTTGAATTCTGCGTGACTTATAACTTATTTGTTCATGATAGTAACATCAAAGATATGATTATTATTATTTACACATCTAAATGTACGTTAAGCTACAATGTTTATACAGAACCAAGTTGAACAATAAAGTTTTATTTGTCTTGTATCCCTTTACAAGGGACGTGCTTTCAACATGATGTATTACGTAAAAATTAATTGATCTAGCCATTATGTCGTTAATAGACCCTTTCCAAATATTGCAGCCATTTTGGCGACGTCTCAGGGAGGAGCCTAATGGTACAGTATTGTGTGCTGTTTGCAAGAATTCTAGGAATTGTACAGGCATTTTGTCCACAGGAATGGAATGTCCACAGGAATGTCTCCCTGCTCTGACACACATTTATGCCCACATTCCTGGAAACCCCTGGGAAACCTGTCCATTCACAGAAGATCATGAATAATTGAATGGGATTGACCCATTTGGAGCAATAGAGAAATAATGTAGCGCCCATTGTATAAAAATGCTTCATATATATATATTGAGGGAGAAGGTCCAATCATTGAATATTAACCTCCTTGATTTGATGTATGTTTAGCGAGCTTAATCTTGAACCCAGGACACTTTGATACATACATGCTCTATTCCATGCCTACTTGCACAGAAAAATACTAAAGAACATAATAAAGTCATTAATTAGTCTATGCCACTTCCAAATATCATATTTCTCTCTGCATCTTTCCAAATAACGATTCTACACACTGTTTAGACTAGGGTCAGATATACTGCATCGGTATTGGGGGCTTTAACATCTTCATTCTGAACCAGGATTCTTCAGAAACCCCTCCAGACCCTCACGCCCAGACCTCCATTGACCTCCTATTAATTGTTCAATTATGGGTGGATGCGCCGTGAATAATTTAAACATTTAAAAGGTGTGTTTGGGGAGGTCTCCACAACACATTCGATGTTGATATATAGCAGTCACGAAACTATTAATTTAATCGACGGGTCACCAAAGTGGCCTATCTATCATCGGAGAAAGCTGAAATTTAGGCTTTCTGTAAATCGTTTTTTTTTTTCACGACAGTTTGTGAAACGGCATTGGGACTATTTTATAAGTGGGTGTTGTAGAGGTTTGGCGTTGCCTCGGGCTACGGACCACAAGGTTGCAGGACGACTACGTGTGACACAACCGAAGCGGGGTCATAGGTTATACTGACGGCCTTTTGTCCTTGTCCTATCTACTGAAGTATATGATTCATCTAGCCTCCATCAGGCCTTCCTACGGGGGATTCATCTAGCTTCCACCAGGCCTTGCTACAGGGGATGAACCTAGCCTCCACCAGGCCTTCGTACGAGGCTACCGATCGTAGAATTCGGCAAAAAAGCGAAGAATAGTTGGCTACTGAGGAGAGTCAGTCCGCGGGAAGGTTAATTTTCCGCCTCCTAACTGCTCGGGTAATTGAACTCTACCGTGGCTTAACTCCCCTGGCCAATTATTCTAGCTATTTAGTAATTACAAGGCTAAATTTTTACTATTTTCGAACCCCCGTTGTTCGTCCGGTGGAGACTTCTTTTGAATGACAGGGCCATGGAGATTGTACACCACGACGTAACAAAACTGAACACTCGGTGATTCTGCGTCTTTGCGCCATCTTTGAACCGATCTTCGGTTACAGGTATGCTGCTTTTACCATATCTTTCACCATACTTCCATCTCTCTCTCTATGGCAATCACTCGTCATCTTTCTTTGCAATCGGATACAGATTCATGTACAGATATACAGATACAGATTTTTCCGAGTAGGATGACCGTGTCAGTCCCTACACCTGAGTGAGGGTCACAGTTGACACGGTGGCCTTCGCGTGGATTTGTTTAAGATGAATAACAGGTTGAGAATCTAAGACCCACACACTTGGGCATACGTCTTCCATACTTCTAGGTACCTACTCATGTGTAAGTGTGACAAAACTATGCTAATACAGTTGCAAACGTGGCTCTAAATACGCCACTTCCAAGAGATAACAATAGTCTTAGGAAAAAAAACTTCTAGAAATGTGTAGTAGGGGTTACTGTTAAGCTGTTTTGCGTTTGGTTTCGTTGTGAACAATTGTTCCTGACGTTTTGGAAAGGGCAATTGTTCGGTCACCTATGTATGAATTACCAAATGACCTGAAAATCTATACTGTCAATCGGGCAAAGGGAAAATATTGTGTTCGAATGAGAGAGACCCCTTTCAATTTTAATTATAAGTTTAAGCTATAACCCTCTTACACAATTTGTATACCCCCCTCCACTTGAAATAGTGTCCCTTCGATCCATCCTCAGGGGTAGTTAGTGAATCATCCCTAATCCAGCGGGAGGGTGTGTCAATTGTACTGTATAAAGAAGTATGGAGGAAGTATAGTAGTCTCTAAGAAGAGGTTGCTCACAGGGGAAGATCGTTACCTCTCTATATATGCCCCCCCTTTTTTCTGCCGCTACCCCAAAAGAAAAAAAAACGGGCATATACAATGTATAGAAATTCAAGGTAACTATGTTCCCCATGTGTGAATTATAGTGTAGAATTATAGCACATGTATATTGTAGCCATCTGGTTTACAGTTGTAGACACAGCAAACAATTTGTGGGGTCGCGTGGCGTAGCGGCAGAGTGCGCGACTCGGAACTAAGAGTCCCGGGTTCGAGTCCTGACATGCCACCGGTCTTGTGCCCTTGGGAAAGGCACTTTACACGACTTTCCTCACTTAGCTCAGGTGAAAATGAGTATTGTCCTGTCCTGTATTTGTCCCCTGTGTTGGTGGCGGCATTAATATAAGTTGAAAAAACTTGAGTGTGTCGTCACCACGTCTGGTGATTACATGCTGGAATATTAAAACAAAAAACAAAACAAAACAATTTGGATAAGTAAATAAGGGTGAAAGCAAAAACAAACTGTAACATGATAGCAATGGTCACATCTGTATATCTCCCTTGTTTCTTTCCTTTTTTTTTCTAGTTTTTATGAAGATGTTCTCCTTGTCTAAGTAACTAAACCGCATCTCCCGGATGAGTTTGAAGAAGAGACAACTAGGAAAGGGTTTCCCTACCAGTATTAGGACCTCAAGATGGGTCAGACGCACCCTGCGAACCTTGCGCCACTTTCTTATGGTCAGTCCTCTGTTCATTTTTGGTTTGTTTGTTTGTTTGTTTGTGTGTTTCTTTTGTTTGTGTGTTTCTTTTGTTTGTGTGTTTCTTTTGTTTGTTTTTTTGTTTGTTTGTTTGTATGAATACAAAAGGACAACGAACAACAATTGTTTTTGCTCTGTTCCTACTTCTTATTCTTCTCCAAACACAAAAGGTCAATGACCTGGACGAGACGTCTGTCACCATGGTTACTGGTGCTGCATCAGACACCCTATTGTGTTGTAGCAAGTGGCAGGACAGTGTTGGAGAGTCTGTGAGTGTGTGTGTCTGTGTCTGTGGTTTGTATGTATGTGTGTGTGTGTGTGTGTGTGTGTGTGTGTGTGTGTGTGTGTGTGTGTGTGTGTGTGTGTGTGTGTGTGTGTGTGTGTGTGCGCGCGTGTCTGTGTATGTGTATGTATGTGCGTGTTTGTGTGCGTGCGTACGTGTGCATGTTGAAATTTTGCTTGCGTGCGTGTGCAAGTTGAAATTTTGAACCGTAATTTACAAGAAATCTAAGACTAGAGCTGTACAGTCAAGAATTAGGGTTAGTCTAATATCTTAATTATGTTGGAAATAACCGTTCAAACTTGCTTCATAATGTACATTTATCTGTCTTCCTGTAGATTCGTTGGTCGCCAGGGATGCGCTTACTTGCGAAGATTGTCGTGGTGTACTGCACCTTAGTGTCGCTAGTCGTACTGTCCATGCTATACTACTACCAGGCAATCGACTTCAACTCCAACCTCCAGTACAGCATGGCGATCAGGTGAGGAAAAGACAGACGATAAGGCCACACCAATTTAATTTGTTGTTTCTTGGATTTTTTAAGAAAAAAATTGAAGCGACAGGGCGAAATAAAAATTAGAGAAAACAGGCCAAGGCACCCCATGATAGCCGGAAATGTTACAATACGAGCCATGAAGTGAACATATCAGGCTGGTTTATTATCAAAACAATTTTGAACTTTTAATGAAACAAAATTGCATTGTTACATTCAAAAACTTTAAGAACTAGGAAGAAAAGGACTTTCTTCAACTGTTGGGGCCAAAATATGTCTTTAATTGAGCATTTTGCACTTAATTTAGAAACAAAAATTTTTTTTTTTGCAAATCAGAAAAAAATGGACAGGGCGATCCGAGAAACAACAAATTAAATTGGCGTGGCCTAACGGCCGCAAATGTTCGGTGTGCGCGGACAAACGCATGTTTGTAGATGCGTCGATGAAGGCCACACACAACATACACAAGAATACCAAGTTACTCAAGCAACTGGATAGATTTTGAAAACCGTCAGACGTTTCACCTCCAAGTAGCATCCACTATGTTTCATCAGTGGGGAAAGGTAGTGGATGCTACTTGAAACGTCACTGGCAAAAAGTAGTGAATGCTACTTTTTTTATTTATTTTTTATTTATTGAAACAACAAAGTACAAGACATGGTACAAGACACAGAGGTGGAAACTCTAGCCGAAGCTTATATTAATCACACCCCTGACATAGAATACAAATTACAGACATGACAATGACGAGACAACAAATGAGCGTTTATATATACAAGACTAACGGCGATATAAATCATTCTGCAACTGTAAATCGTTGGGTATTCAGTATAAAGGTTTAAGTAATAATCAGAATTTTTTTTAACATCAAGACGTAAAAGGGGCGAACCCCTCAGTAAAAGATTAATACTGGCTTGGTCAGACAAGTTGCGCAAGTCAAAAGTAGAGTCTACTATATAGGCTCTGTAGGTTGCTGAGAAGGGTCACTCTATGCAAGAATGCTACTTGAAACATCTGACAGTTTTCCAAATCCATCCAGTTGCACGTGGTTGTAGACATTTTCATGTCTGATGGGCATTATTTAAAGACAAATTGAAGAAGGAGGGATACATTTAAACAAGATTAGCCTGGAAATGCAGATCATCATGTAGAACTTGCAATTTCGTCAATTCGTCTTCATCTCTCTGCAATAGCACTGAACTCCGCGAGAGAGCGCTGCAGAGTGGTCACGACACGTGGGACAGAAGCCTGGAAAGTCTCGCGAGACTGTGGAACGAGAGCCTAGCGGGACTGCCCAGGATCGAGATCAAGATCAGGAGTAGATGGCGCTGGCCGTTCTCTTCTACAAGTCATCCTGTCATGACGAGAATAGAGCAGCACTTCAACATGACAAGAATATACGCCATGCAGTGAGTATCTTTAAGCCACAGCAAGTAATTTTTATGGATGACATCAGCGCGCGCATAAATTTTCGCCCGATTTTGGAAAAAAACAAGAAAGTTTGTTGCCTTCTGACAGTGGTCAACATGTCAAAAATGGGCAAAGATGTCTGTTGCCATGCCGTAAGGTGTATAACATATAACTATGAAGAGAGGACAAGGAAAGGCTCTGATTTAATGTTTTGTTTCTTACTTTGATGCAGTGCAGGGATATGTGATGCTGGCTGTGTATATGTCATGTTCCTACTGAATAAAAATAATGTGTACAATGATTGAGTCAAAATTTTAGATGGTAAGAACCTTGTTTTTTCGGTCCGCCTTGTTTTTTTTTCGCATTAGATTTGGAATTTGCGGAGGATGTCATCCATAAAATTTAATTGCTGTGGCCTTATAAGAGGATTAATGCTTGTAAGATCAAAGTGTTTAAGGCATGTATTGAAACAATTCTTTTGTATGGGTCAGAATCATGGGCTATGAATAGGAACTAAACGGAATCTACACGAAGATGCTGCGAGTAGTTTTCAATACACCATGGTGGAAACATACTACTAACTAGAATTCCGAGACCTCATACCTCCATGAAATATGATCTTGATATGTAAATGTAAATTTCTTCTTTAATTGTTCAAATGACCTCTGCATTAACATGATATATGCATCGTGATGTATGTTAACTTTCGATTAACTTACAGATGTCCCAAGTATGGCATTCTCATCATTCACCATTACGAAATCATAGAATTTTCACATTAATTATGCAAATTAGGTCATCATTTGCATAATTAGTATCTGTTGAAGTTCCGCCTGCCATAGGCTACATAGTATAATGTAAAACACTGTAATTATAGAATTTCCTCATTAATTATGCAAATAAAGTCCTCATTTGCATAATTTACATTTAATTATGTACATCTCTCTCTCAGCTACCTACACACCAAAAATAATGAAAATATGTTGTTCCTGTCTGGACTTATTGGCTTTTAAACATTTCGCCAGAAAGTGCCCTGCAGTTCCAGAACAAGCCGCTAGGGGGCCCAAACTCATATGACTTCTTTCCAAGCACGAGAGCTACCTTCCATCAAAATTTCATGACCCTAGCTTGTCCAGATCGCGAGATAATGTAAAACACTGTAATTATAGAATTTCCTCATTGATTATGCAAATAAAGTCCTCATTTGCATAATTTGCATTTAATTATGTACATCTCTCTCTCAGCTACCTACACACCAAGAATAATGAAAATATGTTGTTCCTGTCTGGACTTATTGGCTTTTAAACATTTCGCCAGAAAGTGCCCTGCAGTTCCAGAACAAGCCGCTAGGGGGCCCAAACTCATATGACTTCTTCCCAAGCACGAGAGCTACCTTCCATCAAAATTTCATGACCCTAGCATGTCCAGATCGCGAGATATCAAAACCGGAAGTTGCGCTGCAGTACCAAGGGAAGCCACTAGGGGGACCAAAATCTCATCATTTCCAGTTTTTGTCACACCCTACCAACACACCAAGTATGAAACCAATCCATCCATGCGTTCTTGAGTTATCTTGTTGACCAACAGACAGACGGAAGGACGGACGGACGGACGGACGGACAGATAAACGCAACTGAAAATATAACCTCCATGACACATTTCATGGAGGTAATGAACAGTTATACGAATCGTTACCAAATGTAACTACAGTAGTTAAATGTCGACGACTAAGCTTGGCCGGTCATGTAGTACGTAGCAAAGAACCAGCCAGCTAGTTGGCTTCTACTTTGGAACCCTGACACGAAGGGAAGGATTGGACGTCCAAACATAACACTTAAGAAATTTAACTTATTTCAACAATGAACGACAAGCAGTTCTGGTGATCAAACTTTGTCCGCTCCACCTCTTCGGAGGATGAATGATGATGATGATGATGATAAATGCTTGGTTGTAGTGAAACGACCATGGTAACTGGTCCTGTAGCAGACACCCTATGGTCTTGGGTTGTGTGTGTGTGTGTGTGTGTGTGTGTGTGTGTGTGTGTGTGTGTGTGTGTGTGTGTGTGTGTGTGTGTGCGCGCGCGCGCGCGTGCGTGCGTGCGTGTGTCTGTAAACAAGATAACTCAAGAACGCTTGAATGGATTGTCTTGATATTTGGTACGTTAGTAGGTCTTGATGAAACCTGGAAATGATTACATTTTTGGCCCCCTGGTGGCTTATTTTGATACTGCAGCTGAACTTCCGGCTTTGATGTCTCATGATCTGGACATGCTACGATCACGAATTTTGCGTGTGTGACTAAAAGATAACCTGAGTAAAAAATAACCAATTTCTTCTTTAACAGGAAAATCAGCAGAAACTACTTCAACCCCATCAGACACGTCATAGACTACAGGGACCTTGAGGCGTTTAAAAGAGACTGTAACATCAAGTCTTTCACCATGAAAAACTCCACGGGCGAGAACCGCAAAACCTGTGACGTAGTACGCACTCCCATCACACATTACCGGACATGCGCAGTGGTGGGCAGCGGAGGGATACTTCTCAACAGCAGCTGTGGTGCGGAGATCGACGCGCACGACTTCGTGATCCGGTCTAACCTGCCGCCAACGGTCCCCTTCAGTAAAGACGTGGGGAGGAAAACGAACTTTACTGCGGTGAACCATGCGAGGCTTATAGCCGTCCGGAGGGCGCTGAAAGCCAGAAACCCGGCCATAAGAGCGGCCATGTTGGCACGTTTGAGCTCGTCCCCAGGCATGGTGTTCGGTTACTCGCTGAGTTTGCCGGACAGCAAAAAGAACTCACGATACCTGCACTCTGTCTACATGATAACGAAGGAACATAACGTCCCTGTGATTCCTGCTTTCTCCCACCAGTCCTACATGTCGTCCAAAGGGTACGAAAATGTTATTTTCGGACTTAAAGAAAATAAAACTGACATTTTGTGTAACTTGACGTTAGTTACGGTAATCACCGTTGAATTAGAATGAAGGAGTGTAGAAAAAGTGTCATATATGCACTTTCAACAGCTGTGAAACGTATTTCTAGCGTTAATAATGAAAATTCATTTAGATGAAAGCTGTTTAAAGTTAAAACTTTAGGTCCAACACAAAAATTCTCTCACCTAGAGCTTTCGACCAGTTACTCTGGTATTCCTCAGTAGACTGACCCAGTGAAGCTTGCCACGTGGCTTCTTTGAAGTGTGACGTCAACACTGGGTCAAAGGTATCTGGTGGACGATGTCGGCGCCCGTCGCAGTTCAATGAAGGGTGATGGGCCCTGATGTATATGGCTTCCTTCACCCCTCTCAAGGACCAAAAGTTTAACTTTAAACATGTAACTACCATCACAGATGAACATAGTGATAGCATTTAGATGGTTCTTATGTCTTTACTTTCCCTCCAGATTGTGGTCCAAAATGGGAGGCAGGAGATGGACTCTTCCGTCCACCGGTCTGAACGTGTTTGGTCTCGCCTCGACGTTCTGCGACCGGATCTCGATGTACGGGTACTTCCCCTTCCCGGACGTCGATGGGAGACCCATCCCCTACCATTATTACGACGGCGTCAAAAAGCCCCACTCAGCGCACAAGATGAAGGGAGAGTTCGACATGTTTCAGAAGCTCCACCGCCAGGGCTTGCTCAGACATGTTGTGGACAAGTGTGATCCTACGTTATAATGGTCCGCAATGAATATGCGCTAGGAAAGTGCAATACCAGTCGTTGCTACAAGGGGGCGTAAGTGAGTTGGGGTTCAAATCTCCAGGGTTTGCTAGATCGTGTGGAAGCGTTCTGACCAGTGACAAGATGAAGGGAGAGTTCGACATGTTTCAGAAGCTCCACCGCCATGGCTTGCTAAGACATGTCGTGGACAAGTGTGACCCTACCTTATAAGTGCCCAGAAATTGAGTGCAACGTCTTTTAAATGTAATCGAAGATTTCAGACTACCTAATTTGCATCTTCTCCATTTTCTTTCGAATGTCGTCCTTCAAGTAAACTGCAGAAACAAGCCCCAAGATGAGTCTATTATTTTCTGGGTGGTACCCAAAAAATCAGCCCAGGGCCCTTCCAATAGCCATTTTTCGTCAGAAGAAAACACAATTAAAAGAAAAACAAGAAAACATTCGTGTCAGTCAGCAAATTTCTCTCCCGCTCTGTTTTCTATGACAGTGTGTTAATTAGCATTAAAATGAGTAATTTATCTGTGGTAACGTGAGAATGCATGTCCAGATGGTGCACTAAGGGAGAGAAGTTGTATGTTGGAGTCTCATGTTACACATCAATGTCAGCGCCAGCTGTCAGTACTAACACTCATGCTCCCAGGGTGTCAACGTTTTGTCTCCATCATCATTTGGAATGTACTATGTACGTACGTTGTTGGGGGAGCTCTTAAAGCGTTGCGGAAGAAGATAGAACGAAAAAGACACCAGAGAAAAATCTCCATTGGACAAAGGTAAAGTAAATCAAGTGAAAATGAGTATTTCTGTTGTCCGTACGTTTGTCTGTGTTGATTGCGGCATAAAAATAACTTGGAAAAACTTGAGTGTGCCGTCGCCATGTCTGGTGAAAAATTATGGAATAGAAAAAAAGGTAAAGTACTAGACACTCAACAGGACAACCATGTATGGGTTGTCAATATAGAATACCATTCGACCGGCAGGAGGGCTGGGACCGAGGCCGTAGTATTTTATTTATGCTATACAAACCCGAGAAAATAAACTTTTCAATACAAAATGTGCCACAATTTGGTGCCCCGAAACAAAACAAAAAATTGCAAAACCACATCAATTCTGACGTTTGAAAGTGTGGCACAAGTTCGAATTATTCCCTGGAACATTTTTACGCACACATGGCTACATTCTTTTTAGCAGCTGAAGATTATTATTATATATTAAGGTTAAGACAATTAGCTGTAGTCATCATATCTTCTTGAGTGTGCGCAGGTGGCGTAGCTTGTCTACGCCTCCGGTTAAAAAAACAAGGGAGCCAGTGTCGCCCTCTGAGACCAAACAGCGACATCAAATAAAATTACACAAACTCTACAAGGGATTCAAATAATGAACACAGCGCCAGTGGGACTCGACTATTGCTTTATTGTTCCTCCTTAATTACATTATGTTTAATTGTCAACGAAACGCCGCAGCGTGCTTGTGCGCAAAAGTCAGCGATTCAGCGATTTTCTGTGGCCGACTATATGTGTATGACATATGGAAAACTGTCGACATGAGTGGTATAAAAAATATACCCAAATACATGTACCAGTTATCGCGGTAAAATCGCATAGCGTGCGTAACCCAGAAACTAGCGACCCTGCCTCTGGACTAGAAGGTTGGGAGTTCGAATCCCAGCTATTGTCGCTCACCCGACATGCACGCTACTGGAAAGAGTCTCAGTCCGTTAGTTACGCTGTGGTCCACAATGAATGCGTTAGGAAAGTGCTATACCAGTCGTTGCTACAAGGGGGCGTAAGTGAGTTGGGGACTCAAACCTCCAGGGTTTGCTAGATAGTGTGGAAGCGTTCTGATCAGTGACAAACTGCTTGAATGCCCCCTGATTCCGATCCTGTGACGTTTTATCTTATAACTGATTTCTCTTTCTATCAAAAACTACAAAAGGATCCGTGATTGTCAACTCATGGTACTATTAAAGTAGATGGCAAAATACTGCCGAATTGGGTAACATATCTCCCATATTGGTTCAAACCTTACCGTCCGGTCTTACACTGCCTTACTGTACAAGACCAGTGTGTTATGCCTAAAAGCGAAACAAACAAATACGAAGTATATATTCTATAAGCATATATATATAAGTTCATATTTTGGTATTTCGAGAAAATGAAGTCGCCATCTTTACCAAAACTTTCAGAAAACTGAGCGAACGTAACAAGGAGGATCCCATTTTTAAAATTATGCTCCTTGGTTACATCGATTTTAAAACATCTGGAATTCATAGCTTAAAACGGGGCGCAGACATATTTAGGTCATCGGCAGTTGCATGCATAAACCAATTAGAAGCGATTAATACTTAGCAGACACCCGAGTGCTAATTACTTTAAAATCTCATTAAGACCTAATTTCCTCACATCTTCCGTGGTGTCCGTGGAGTATTGGGCATGTCAGGTTAGTTTCCGCGCAACCTCACTCGTATTTATGGATTTTCATGACTCTTGGAACGAAACCATCTGTTGGATGCATGGGGAATGCGCTGACATGTTCGACTACGAAGGCCCAAAGGTCTGAGAGAAATGTCCCTATGGGCTTTCGTACAGTTTTGTAAGTAAAAAGCTGAGTGTGTAAGGCCAGGCGGTGAGTGATAAGCATTGTGTACCATTTTCAAAGTGTTTGGTTCCAAATACGCAAGAGAGGGATTTGTGAACAGGGCTTTCTAATATGTAAAAGCACATCTTACTAGAGTTCCACAAGTTCATACCTTCACCAAATTAATTACCATTGATTATGCAAATTAGAAACGCATTTGCACAATTGTCATCTAATTATGTTCAAATTATGTTTAACATCACCTAAGCTACCTACATACTAAAAATCATGACGATTCCTCAACCGGTTCTCATGTTATCCCCTTCGAAACAATTTTTAAACAAATGCCCCTGCAGTTCCCAAACAAGGTGTCAGGGGGCCCAAACTCACATCACTTCTTCCTCAGCAAAATAACTATCTACCATGCAAAATTCGTGATGGTAGAATGTCCAGATCATGAGATATCAAAACCGGAGATTAAGCTGCAGTACCAAAATAAGCCACCAGGCGGCCCAAAATGTAATCATTTCGAGGTTTCATCAAGACCTACCTCCGTACCAAATGTCAAGACAATACATTCAAGCGTTTTTGAGTTATCTTGTTTACAGACAGACAGACAGACAGTCAGACACACACACACTCAGAGAGACACACACACACACACGTACATACACACACACACACACACGAACGCCTCCGAAAACATAACGTTATTGGGTAATTACATGTACTTCCAATAACCATTGGGCAACACTTTGCAATAAACTTATAATTATCATCATATCTACAACAGAGATGCAAATTTCTGCCATGAAATGCTTATGTCGTAAAGTACTATTATGGCGTTCGTTTACATACCAGTAGTTGGGAGGGCAGACAATATCGAACCTAGGGGAAAATGTGTTCTAATGCTACATATATGGTCAGTCGGCCTGGCGATAACGCTAAGTCCTTATGGCCCAGATTGGTACCTTGGTAGGAAAACGGGGACCATAAAGCTTAATGTAGACCAGTATTGCAGCTTAATAAGTTATTAGTCGAATTATCAAGGCTTTAATGTGATATCAGTGTCCCGATGTGGGGGGGGGGGTGAATAGATATTTCTAAGGGGGGAACGCTCATACACTGACACGATCATAGTGTCACATAAAGAGAGGGGGAGGAAGAGGAAGAGAGTCACACGCGCATACACACGCATACACACACATACACACGCATACACACACACACACACATATACTCACTCAACACATGTTCACACGGGCACACACACACACACACACAAACTCAACACACACAGGTACACACACACAGAGACAGACACACACACACACACACACACAAATAGTACACACACACACTCAACACATGTTTACAGTTCACACAGGCACACACACACACACACACACACACACACACACACACACACACACACACTCAACACACACACACACACAACACACACAGGCACACACACACACGCACAGACAGACACACACACACACACACACGCTGTGTGAGGTCCCCGTCAAACAATAAAAGAAACAGCATGTTGACAGGGTAGAACGTTACATCTTTGGAGAATAAATGAAAAGGATACATGACTATTCGTTTAGAATATAACCTCCCTCCTCGTCATATTTTTCGTGCTCCAGCGGTCCTCCACCAACACCACTTCGTTCCAGTATTTGTCAGTGTACAGCCTAACGCACAGTCTGACATGACTGATGTGCTCTACCTCTAGTCACAATAATACGCACCGCTTGTCTATAATGTTGTTCTGGGATTATTTTAACAAGTCTGCCGATCCAGAGGAAGCCATCAGTCATCCGCTGCGTTTGGATGCTGCCCCATCTATCATGAAGAGGAGGCTATATAACAATTAGCAACAGAGTTGCTGCGTCGGGTAAATGCAGAAGTCGTTCGGTCCATCCATCTGAAAGCTGGCTCGCAATGTGTATGTCGTCCGTTTAATTCACCTGTATACATCCTAGATTTCCCCCAGTTATTGTATTTACCGAGGTCAGTCACATGGATACTTTACGGTGCTGTCATGTTTGTAGAATGTCGTGGTACAATTTTCATGTCGTAGGACATTTAAGCAGACTGTAACAGAACCAACCGCCGACTATCTAAGACAGCCTATTCCGTGACAAGACAGCTGGATTTGCATGCAAGACACGTCGAAAGAATGCGTCGACCATCGTAAGACAATCGTAATACCATCTTTAGACGATCGTACTACCATCTTAAGACAATCGTACTACCATCGTAAGACGATCGTACTACCATCGTAAAACGATCGCACTACCATCGTAAGACGATCGTACTGCCATCGTAAGACGATCGCACTACCATCGTAAGACGTTCGTACTACCATCGTAAGACGATCGTACTACCATATCGTAAGACGATCGTACTACCATCTTAAGACGCTTACGATCGTACTACCATCTTAAGACGATCGTACTACCATCTTAAGACGATCGTAAGACGATTGTAGTACCATCGTAAGACGATCAGCTAACAAAAAAATGCCCTCGGTTTGCAATCACAAGCCGATCGTAGGACATATGCGACCGGTGTCTTGGCGCAAATGTCGATGTAGGAATTGTAAAAGACCCCGACTTCCTCTACAGAACTACGTCTAACTTGATTCATTCCCATTGATTATAGTTCCTACCGCCTCGTCGCCAATGGTCTTGAATCAATGATTGATCAAATTTGACCGATCTCCGATATCTTAGTGAGTCGTTAGGAGGCTATGCCCCATGCGAGGACTCCGAAAATCAACA